ATTATACGTGAACTCTTTCAAATTTAAAAACATTACACTTATAAAAGAGACTATTTTAATGGGATGAATATAGTTTTCAGTAAATATTAGTTAAGTTTATTCCAATATAATTTATTTGAGGATAAATTAAAATAAGAAAAAATAACATTTGAATGAAATCTAAACAATGAATTTAAATTTTTGAAACACCTAAAATCTGTATCCATTTTTGCATACAAAGAATATGAAAAGGATGAAGTCCTGAATACACACTAGTTAAAGAATTTTATATTTTTGTTAAGAATCATAGATAAAAACTCATAAAATAATGCGTTCTTTTACATTTTAATTAAAACAATTAATTCCTCAACGGATATAGTGTTTTTCATATATGCAAAGAAAAACTTTATGAACTATAATTTGTAGATAAAAAATTGTAAGAAATTCAAGATGAATTAAAATCTCACATTAGTTGTAAATGAATAAAATGAAACATATAAATAAAATGGTGTTTAATATATTATATGAATGTATTCATAATTCATCATAATATCAAAATTCTCCATAATTTTAATTAAAACAAATATTAAAGTTGTGTCACTTCCATAAAAAATATACTTCAATAATTGTCGTTTTTAATCACAATTTTAATTAAAAAGTAAAATATGAAATTAAAGTCTGTGTTTTATAAATATAACATTTACAATAACAAAAGTTATATCATGCAAACCCAACTTATCCAAAGAAAATTTTCTTAAATATGTTCATTTGAGTAATATTGAACCAAAAGTGCACAGAAATTGATAAATAAACTACTAGAAATGAAATATTTAAGAAAATGGAGAGTGACAGAGATGCATATCAGTCTCTTCCCTGTGTTCCACCATTTTTGCTGAGACAACCCTAAACTCACATGTCTCCTACTCATTACTTCACCTTTTCTTCAACTTTTCCTGTTTGAATTTTTGCCGCTCTTTTTCTTTCACATCTTCTTCTAATCATAGCTAACACATGCCATAATTATTATGCATATCATTCTTCATATTTAATGGTACACAAGAATTTAATGAAACTGTTGTATCTAAAAAGAAAAAGAAATCTTAACTACTGTCAGTGGAAAGTGGTCACTCATATAAATTTTATTATAGATGTACATTGAAATTGAAACTCATGATTTATTTGAAAACACAATATCAGCAAGACATAAATCCAAATTATTTGACATTATTTCTTGTTTTTACCAAATTTTGGAGTGTGATTTTTGACATGTAGCAGTGTGTGATGGGATCCAAAAAATTCAAATGTGTATTTTTAAAAATCGAAAGTGAAAGAAAATTCATCTGTAAATTTCTCTTAGAAGTTCAAATCAGTAAAAGATAAAATCTTTATCTATAAAAAGATAAATATGAGTCTCAACGTGTTTTCTAATCAAATGAATGTGATTGGTACCCTATATCATTTATATGATTTAAATAAAGAATATATATATATTAGAAAAAAAAGACATTTAAAGATGATTTAAAAAAAATTATCTAAATTTAAATAATAAACCTTTGTTGGATATGATTTAAATAAAGAATTTATTAAGAAACATTTAAGAATGGTTTGACAAATAATAAAAATATATTGAAATTTGAATAATAAACCTTTATCTGGGCCATGACACCAGAGTATGTACATTTTTAATTGAAAATTTTAAGATGATAAATTTATGAATTTTTAATTTAAAAATATGTAAATTTTATGTTTGTCAGGAAAGATTTTCGAATATGGTTATGAAACTTATTTATGCGTATTATGATAAAATTAATTACAATCCCATCAAGTTTTTTTCTAGTTAACTTTGAAATATTAATTACTATGTGATAAAAATGTATTGAAGAAACGTCTAATACCCTGGTAAAGCTTAGATTTGATATGGTTTTACATGGTGTGAGGTATTGATGAAATGTCACAGATCTCAATAAAAAGTTTGCAGTTTTTAATATTGTTTTCCATTTTAAAACAAAAGTACTAGGTTGCCAAATGAAGCATGGTCATATATCTGTATACTAGGAATCTTCGCATCTATATAACTCATGCTTTTGGATCCAAGTTCTTGAACGTTTGAAACTTGGACGAGAACATTATTCATTTATGTGATTTCTTTTTGTTAGTTCAAAATAAAATAAAATAAAAGTAAAAATAGTCCTTGTTGTCTCGGGTTTCCTTTTCAACATTCTTTCTAAAAGAAAATAAAAAGTGGCATTAAAGTTTATGTCTCCATGCAAAAATTGATTTTTTAAATTAAAAGATAAAAGCTTTACTTTTAGGGTTGCTCTACCCTACAATCTCAAACTTCCATAAGCTAAAAGCCAAACAATTTATTGCCATATACTATATACTTTTTATATGATAGGTGTGTTACCAATACATGATTTATAATTGATTGAAATTTATTCGAATTATAAAAAATCAATGAAGATAACAAAAAAGATACGACATCTATCAGAATTTATTAACTCTAACAAAATTTAAATAATAATATTAAGAAAATATATCAAAGAATATTTTACTAATATTTTTTAATTATTTTAAAAGGCTAAGCTAAGCAACCATACGTGATTAACAAGTCAATTAGGTAAATTCATTACACTAATTATGATGATAATGAGATGGACCAATAATAACTGGATCTACCTAAATCCAAAATCGAATAAAAGTTCATAACAAATAGTGTAAACAAAACTTAAGTTAGGTTAATTGATTTGATTTTGAATATATGAAACATTGTTAGAGTCATTAAATTCAGCAACAAAGTAAGATCTAGGTGGGTGCAGTGGATTGGACTGAGTGGATTTTGACGGTAGAATATAATTAGCTTTTTCAAAAATCTCGAGTCATTTCCTGCATGCACCTCCTTCTCCAAAATTTTCTGAGTTTTCAGTTTTCTCCTCCTTCTCTCTAAACTTCTTTTCCTTCTCTCTATAAATTCTTACCTTTTCCTTCTTCCGATCATCATTCAGGCATCACCTAAGTATTCTTGGTGTTAAGCTCTCTCTTTTAAACTGATCAAGTTGCTGTTTTGGGGTTGGTAAGTTAAATTCCTTCGTCCTATTAGGATTTATGCATTTTCTGTTACATGCAAGCACCATTCAGCTTGCATGTATTAATCAAACTCCCCCTCTGAATCTATCTTTTGTCTTTGGTTCTATGATTGGTTCATTTTCACCTATCAGAAGTTTGTAGGAGGTTATAGAAGTTACTTGCGGTGTAGGCGATATTGTGGAAGCATAGAAGTTTTCTGGGTTTCGAGGTAAGGGAAGCTTGTAATTTAATTATGATTCTCTGTTTTGAATGGTTGCATGTTTGAATGATGTTTTGTTTAGTTATTTGGTTGATATGAACTATCAATGTTATTATATGTTCGTATGTATGTGTTGATGATTAATAAATAGTGTGAACTGTGTAGGAATAGAACTTGATCATGATTTTGCAGTATTTGTGCAGAATTCATTAATTGTCGCCGAGAGTCATTTGTGATCGTTCGGTTTCTCTTGGTGTGTTCGGTCCTAACTGAATTCTCATTCTATGGAGAATTTCAATTAATGACCGATCGGTCTTCTATTAGTATATTTGAAAATAAGCGTTCGGTCTAAGTATAGTTTTCTATTTCTAATTAGTAATTAGCCTAGTTAAGGTACTCAATATAATTTAAATCTTACATACTATATTTATCCTCAATTATAAATAAGTGTTTCGTAGTTGTGCGGTCAAATCTATTTATTCATTTTATATAAGCTCAGTAGTGCTCGGTCTTGTACTAACACTCGGTCTGTAATGGTGTTAGGTCTAAATTCTAAGTGTTCGGCCTAAGTCTATAGTGTTCGGCCTAAGCTGATAGTGTTTGTCCTAAGCCAATAGTGATCGGTCTAAGGCAATGGTATTCGTTCTAAATCATAAGGGTTCGGTCTAAGATTTAAGTGCTCGGGTTTAACTTTAGTATTTGGTTGTTCTAGTATTCGACCCTAAAATAGTGTTCGGCTCATGCTTGAGTCTTGCTCTTTAAATGACCGCTCGGTCATGATCATATATGGGTAGTGTTTTTCCATCCGGTCTTGTTCATAAGATTTGTGGATCTTTCTATTCGGTTGTTCTCAAGGATGATGTTGTTTTACTGTTCAGTTTGATTTGTATAAATGAATAAGTATGATGGCATTAAAGTATGATGTGATTTGTATTATATGGATATGAACGAGTGTTCCAAGGAGGAATATCTCATGGATGGTTATTGAATGGTAAAGTATGAATGTAGTTATAGCTTAGTTGGCATTTATCTTGATATTCTGCGATTACTCATTCTCAAGTAGAGAAGAGTAACTCATGTGTGAGAATGGCAGGAGGTCCTAATCCATAAGGTGAACTTGGGCGAGGTATAACAGACTAACCTCGGGTGGCAGTTGTTGAGGGCATCCCAGCTACTACACCATCCGGGTGCATAAACGTCGTAGCTACATAATTCATACAATCCGGATAAGTCAAGTCAGTGGTCGGTCATTGCATGTAAATTCCTGTCAGTTATTGTATGAAATTGCATGTGTGATGATTTTATGCTATATGTGAATCTGTTCGGTTTTTATGATTAATTAAATTACATAAACTTACCCTACTCTCCTGTCTTGTCTATGTTGTTCGTTCGGTCATCCTTCCTGTTGCAATGATCATCCTATGGATGTGAGCA